TTGCAAGCAGTATCAGAATGTGGTTGAACAGCTGATACTTTCAACACAACCTCCTGATATTGTTGAAGTACCCGTGTGGACCTTTTCCCATGCTAGGATTTCCAAAATATTCTCCATTGACCTAAAATGTTTTCTTCTCTCACTAACATTCCTGTTTGTCTTACTTCCTCAGAATTTTCCCCAGTTACCGCCAGATACATTGGAAATCTGTTCTCTGCAGTTGCAGGGGCTTCCGCGGTGGCAAGCCAGTTAGTTGCTTGTTGATCCTGTGTCTTTAGCTGTCCTCAAGTAATGTCAGGCACCCTCCAAGCCATCACCATCATTGCTGGTTGATTCTCCAGATGATGACAGATCTTTCATCACTGGGAGGGGGTTGTGTGGTGGTCTCCTGTTCTCAAGGAGAGAGCCCCATATTCCCCCTTTTTTGTTTATTAAACTTTAAGAGTTTAATGAGTTTATTTAATAATGGGCTGATTGGTTGTTATAGGGAATGCTAGTTTTATGTTGTATGTTTTATGTTGTATGCCATGCATATGCAAATTGAGCACTAAGTAAGGTTTATTAGTAGTTTTTATAGTTTGTGGAAGGCTTAAAGTTATAATAGATTGAAACAAATGAGCAATTGTATTTTAAGTTTTTTTTTTTTTAAGTTTTGGGGGTTGGTATGTATAAGTGTTTACGGTAATGTGGAGAAATTTAAGACATTTAAAGGGTGAATAGCATTAGGCATTAAACTTTGTGGGTTGGCATTAGGCCTTAAGGAAAAAGGAGAGAGAGAACGCTATTGGCAATTAGGACAAGTTTTGATCATTATGCGAGCTTGAGCAAGTGTTAAATGAAACTGGTTTAAGACTGTAGGCATTTTGATGAAAAAAAAATGAGCTTAAGCTTGCAGAAAAGCAGGAAAGTTTGCAAACCACGTTTGTGGTCATATTAGAGTATTAGCTTGAGTTTTTATTTTTTTTCTTATAAGAAACTGGGTAACCTAGACTGAGAGTGAATATATGTAAAGATGGTGATGACAGGCACAGAGGAGCTTTTGTGCTGCAAGAAACGAAGCCAGTAGAGATTCATTAGTCATTCGTTAGTACATTTTTACATGTGCAAGATTTAAATGAGTCATACTGTACACGGCATAAGCGGAATCACTACTTATGTTTACGTTTTGGTGAGAAAAAGTTTGTAAAGCTAACATTAGGGCACTTAACTTCACCTGTTGCGTACTTTTAAAAAGTTTTTGGATTTTGTGCTGTTAGTTTTGCATGGCATTTTGCTACATTATAGCTGCTTTACTTTTTTTTGGAACTATTTGTAAAGACAGTAGTGGTATGAAGCAAGGGTTTAGAGATAACAATAGATAAAAATTTCATAGGCAGAGTTTGTAAAAAGTTTAGAAGTTTAGAGGCTGGCAAATGGAAGCTGATATTACTAATAAAGTTAGCTATTGCTACTTGCTAATTAAGATTACAAGCTAGGGGAGTATGAAATTGTTTTCTGCTTAATGGTAGGAAAAGAGTAGTAGGGTTATATTTTGACAATTGAACACAATGCCACTTTTTTTTCTTTTTTTTCTTTTTTTTTTTTTTTTTTTAGAAGAGAAGCTATTTGTAGCTTTTTGTATGTGTTTAGAGGGATTATGAGACAGGTACATAACACATAAAATGCATAAATAGCAAAACATAAAGCCTACCTGTTAAACTAAGGCATGGAAGAGATGGATATTTTAAGTGATTTCTATTACATTTTGGTCCTTGAAAGGCATTATTATGACTGCAAGTTACTAGGAGAAACCTGCATTGAGTTAAGTGTGCAAAAACCAAAACCAAAAAAGTTTAAAAAATGTTTTTAGGTGCTGACCATGTTTTTTGCATTAGCCTTTAGCTGGAGTGTTTTAGAAGTAACCTTGGAAAAGTAGGGGTGTGGCATGTTTTTTTTTTTTTTTTTTTTTTTTTTTTACTTGCTTTGGGCTTTTTAGGCAGCCTTTTCTTCTTTTTTAATAGCCTGCCACCTGTTGGTGCTTTTGCCCTGAGAGGAAGGAAGGCTACACGTGGCAGCCAGAGGCCCGAGAATGACCAGGTGGTAAAGCGTGCGCATCAGGGCCGAGGCAGGAGGCAAGACAGTCACCGGCTGGGAGAAGACCTTTCCTTTACTTTTTAGGTCACCCATACTCGGAGCCAACCCTGTGAGGTAAGGTACTGAAAATATACTGGGCTTTGATTATTTCTACCACCCCTAAGCAGAGAGGCTTAGGGGAGGCAGACATGCAGCACAGGGTTTGCTTTGAAGTTTTTTTAGCAACAGTGTTTTTAAACATTGTATAAAAAAGCAAAACAAACATTTTTTACTGCTGCGTTTATTTTTTGAAGATGACAGCAGCTGGCAGAGCTGTTTACCGTGGCCTGGTTGGCATTTTACATACAGCTGTGGGAGAGCTCCCCTTATTAGCGGGCTTTTTCCCCAGGACTTTGTACTTTAGGCTGCTTTATGCTTTTCTGCCCACCTTAGGCTAGTAAGGTTGGGGTGCACATGGACTGTTTTTTTAGCCATTTTTGGGGTGTCTAGGGAAGACAAGGAATTGTTTATTAACTGAGACATGTGAGGGGTGGCAGGGAAGGGCAGAAGTAGAAAATGCCACAGCACAGCAAGCAGCAGGCCACTTTTTGGACACAGTGACTAAGGCACGTGGCCATGGTGAGGAGGAGTTTTAGGACGGGGCTGGAGCTGCCTGCAGCCACCTGTGGACTCTGCCCGTGCCTCACCACAAGCCCAGAAAGGGGCAATTTGCCCAAAGTGCCGGTGACTAAATGGGCACTTCATGGCATTTTAGCAACTTTCCTGCCCCAGGCTTTTGTGGGCACCAAGAAAGCTAGAGCTATTTGGGATAAAACCCAGCAGGCAGCATGCAACTTTTTCTATACTTTACGGAAACAGAAAAAAAACAAGGCCAGAAAGGCTGATGCTGGAAGTAGGAAGTGGGAACTCGCATATCAGAAAGACAATTGTAATCAGCCACTTTCCTTCCCTCCTGGAAGGGCCCCTCCAGCAGGGAAGTTTGTTAAGGAGACCCGGCCACCCAATTATATACATGTTTACTGACCAGGTTTGTTTTTTCTTTTCTTTTTTTTTTTTAAACTGTTCCTTGGGCAGCCTTTACTTTTTTTTTTTTTTTTAAGATTGTAATTTAGGCTCTGGGGGACATGGGCAGATCATGCAGGATTGTTGCATAGGTACATACAGGGCAAGGTGGTTTGCTGCCTTCATTCTCCCCCACCATCACCTATATCTGGTATTTCTCCCGTCATTATCCCTACCCACCCTCCCCATCCCTGCTGTCCCTCCCCTATCACCCGCCACTGACTGCAGTGTGTGATGCTCCGCTCCCTGTGTCCACGTGCTCTAACTGTTCAACACCTGCCTATGAGTGATAACATACAGTGTTTGGTTTTCTGTTCTTGTGTCAGTTTGCTGAGAATGCCTTTACTTTTTTTTAAGGGGAATGGGAGTCGCTGTTGACTGGATGGGGCCAACAGATGCAGGATTTTCTTAAGGGTGGAAGAAAAGAGAGCAGTGGCTTTTCTATAGGGGGAGGAAAAGACTTTGGTCCGTTCTTATCCTTACTAGAAAAAATGTCTTCATTATTCCACATAGAAGGGATTGAAGGGGGGAAGAGAAGTTTCTCCCTGTTGTTTTGGTTTCTGTTTTTCCTTCTCCTTTAAATCTCCGGAATTCCCTTTAGGCAGAGAAGATGGGTGGTTTGACTTGCTGCAGTCTGGCAGATAAAGAGGATACAACGCAGAGCGTGCCACCGCCCAGGTGGTTAAAATAGTAACATTAGTAAAATGACCTTGCTTACAACCTTTTCGTAGGCTGCAACCTACCTGCTCCCGTAATTATAAATCTAAGATTCCTTGATTAGGACACCAAGGGCATTTTTGCCAAATTAAGAGCATAAGCTTGTGTAGAGCTCCAGGCTTTACAGTGCATTGGATAGACTTAAGTAGCTGTTGCACTGTTTTAAAAAATACTTCCTGCTTTTGGTCATTTCTTGACTCGTGATAACCTAGCCCCTGATATTTTATGCATGCATCCCATTCTCCTGATGGGAGTTAGGACTGTCCTTTACTGGGATTTCCTGAAAATTGATAAGCTCTCCTCCTTCAGGCATAACTTGAAGGCGATCACATCGGGGGCACCACTTGCAGAGCGTATAGCTTGCAGTGAAGGCCGAGAAGGAAGTAGACAACCTTAGCTGAGCGGAGCTAGTGGGTAGCTTTTTTGAGAGGGTTTTCCCCATCACTTGTCCACCAAGTATTTGTTGAAAGGGCTTGCATTAACTATCAATATCCACTAAATGGAGGTGGGTTGCTGAGGCACCTGTGACCTTGTACACACTAAAACTGCATTCTTAGGAGGCCATTTTTAGCGTTTCCTATTACACCACACACTTTACTCCCTGTCCTGTTTTCAGGGTTAAGGAATTTCATTCCCATGCACAAATAACATACACAGTGCCTCAGTATTTTTCCATGCCCCAACCTCAAATGCCATGCACATAAGCTTGAATATGTTACCATGGAACATGGTATGTTCCCCCCAACATGGAAGACTATACAGAGAGTAAATATGAAATATCGTGTTGATGTCTGGACATGTGCCTAGGATATAGATTTTCACAGCAGAACGCATAATAACCTCTACATGCAGATGGCATCTGTGCCAGAATGTTTGTGCATGTGCCAACAAACACAAGATGTTAATTTTGAGGGTGATGACAACAGTCTGAGGTTTAACTTCCACTAGGCTTTTCCCTGCTAAATGGCTTACATTATTCACTATGTGACAATGTGGTCACTGCAGGCAGTCACCCGTTCTGCTTCTAAGACTGTATTAGCACCAGCAAACATTTTCTGATGTCTCTGCCCAGATTCAATCTTAGAAGGGGCTGGGATTGCTGGGTAATGAAATTGCTGGAGAATCCTCCATTGTAGGGATGAGGGCAGAAGCTGAGAGGGGTTGTCCAGGAATCAAATTCTTTGTGATGTGGGAAGTCTGTTCTCTGCTAAAATGATGGGGTTGGATCCCTGGATGATTTCGAAGGTTGCTTCAGGGTCAGGTTCTGCTTGTCTTTGAGAAGTGGAGGAGGAGGAGATGTCTTTGGCTAGACATTTAGGGACTTTGGGGAGGAGTGTCTCTCTTTCTTTCCCTATATGGGCACTGCCCTGTCCAGTTGGTCTGATTTCTGCCAACCCCACCTGAGGCCTCTGCCTCCTCCTGAGTGGCCTTTCCTCTCTCAGGAGGGTAGGAAGCTCATAAGCGGCCTGGGACCTGGGACACAAGCCTGGGCCCCATGGAAAGCAAGATGAGAAAGCAGGTGGGTGGGGATAGCAGAGCCTCATTCCCTGGTGCATGGGCCAAGGAGAGGTGACTGGGCTTTACTCTCAGCTTATTTGCAGGGCTGCTCTTGAACTCTAGGGAGCAACCTCCAGTGGGCGTCGTTAGAAATAAATGTGCAGTAATTGCCTGGGGTCCTGCTGGGCCCATTTCTCCTGGGCTCCAGACATACCATCCCCTTAGGGTTTTTCCCCAATGGGCTTCAGAGGTTTAATTTGCTACTTTTGTCTCCAGGGGAAATCTCCACAGTTCCCTACTTTTCTCTTCAGTCCAGGGAATTCATCTCATTGATTGTATGAGGTCAGAACTCCAAAGTTTGTGTTGATGGCCCCCTTTTAAATTGAGGTAAAAACCACAAAGCATAAAATTTGCCATATTAACCATTTTTAAGTGGGACAGTGAATGCTGCTATGTACATTCACACTGTTGTGCATTCAATGTCTGGAACCCTTTTCATCTTTCCAAACTGGACCCTTGAACCCCTTAAAGAAATGACTCCCAATTTGTCCCTCCCCACAGCCCACAGCAGCCATCATTCTACTTTCTGTGTCTATAATTTTGACATCTCTAAATACCTCACATGTGTGGAATCATATAGTATTTTTCCTTTTGTGTCTGGCTTCTTTCACTTAGCATAACCTCAAAGTTCATCCATTTGAAACACGTGTCAGACCTGCCTTTCTTTTTAAGGCTGAATAACCTTCCATTGTGGGTATATGCCATGTTTCATTTACCCATTCTTTTTTTTTTTTTTGAGACGGAGTTTCACTCTTGTTACCCAGGCCGGAGTGCAATGGTGCGATCTCGGCTCACCGCAACCTCCGCCTCCTGGGTTCAGGCAATTCTCCTGCCTCAACCTCCTGAGTAGCTGAGATTACAGGCACGCGCCACCATGCCCAGCTAATGTTTTGTATCTTTAGTAGAGACGGGGTTTCACCATGTTGACCAGGATGGTCTCGATCTCTTGACCTCGTGATCCACCCGCCTCGGCCTCCCAAAGTACTGGGATTACAGGCGTGAGCCACCGCGCCCGGCTTATTTACCCATTCTTATGTCAATAGACACTTGGGCTGTGTCCACCTTTTGGATATTGTGAATAATGCTGCTATGAACATGGCTTTAAAAATATCTCGACCGGGCATGATGGCTCACACCTGTAATCCCAGCACTTTGGGAGGCCTAGGTGGGTGGATCACGGGGTGAGGAGTTCGAGACCAGCCTGACCAACATGGTGAAACCCCATCTCTACTAAAAATACAAAAATTATTCAGTCCAGGGCAGCTTCCCTGTTCTGTTAATTAAACTTCGGGACATTAAAATGGGCTAGGGGAGATGACTGGGTAGAAAGCATTCTATTCATTTGCCTCCCAGCCTACAAAAATGCCTGCTTGGGTCTAATACATCAACAGTTAAAGATGCCTGGAAGAGACAGGACTGAAGAGGCTGAAGACATAATGTGCTTGTATTAGCAGACAAGCTACATTCAGTTTTACGAAGTTTGGGGTCTGATGGGCTGAGATACAAATAAACTGAATTATTTTTATATATGGCTTTTCAGAAAAAAAAATACAAAAATTAGCTGGGCGTGGTGGTGCATGCCTGTAATCCCAGCTACTCAGGACACTGAGGCAGGAGAATTGCCTGAACCTGGGAGACAGAGGTTGCAGTGAGCCAAGATCATGCCTCTGCACTCCAGCCTGGGTGACAGTGAGATTTCATCAAAAAAAAAAAAAAAAAAAAATCTCTTTGAGCCTCTTTTCAGTAGCATCTCAGAGGTGTTCAGCTGCTTCAAGATGAAGCTGGACATCTCCTTCCCAGCCACTGGCTGCTAGGAACTCATTGAAGTGGACAATGAATGCAAACTTCATACTTTTTAGGAGAAGCGTTTGGCCACAGAAGTTGCTGCTGACACTCTGGGTGAATAATAGAAGGTTATATGGTTCGAATCAGTAGTGGGAACAACAAACGTTTCCCCATGAAGCAGGGTATCTTGACCCATGGCCGTGTCTACCTGCTACCAAGTAAGGGGCATTCCTGTTACAGACCAAGGAGAACTGGAGAAAGAAAGAAAGAAAATCAGTTTGTAGTTGCATAGTGGATGCCAACCTGAGCGTTCTCAACTTGGTTATTGTAAAAAAAAAAAAAGGAGAGAAGGATATTCCTGGACTGACTGATACCACGGTGCCTTGTTGCCTGGCGCCCCAAAGAGCTAGGAGAATCTGCAAATTTTCTTTTTCTTTTTCTTCTTCTTCTTCTTTTTTTAAATTGTACTTTAGGTTCTGGGGTACATGTGCAGATCATGCAGGGTTGTTGCATAGGTACTTAATGGCAAGGTGGTTTGCTGCCTCCATCCCCCTGTCACCTATATCTGGCATTTCTCCCCCCGTTATCCCTCCCCAACCTCCCCACCCTCTGCTGTCCCTCCTATAGCCCCCCACAACAGACCCCAGGGTATGATGCTTCCCTCCCTGTGTCCATGTGTTCTCATTGTTCAACACCCACCTATGAGTGAGAACATGTGGTGTTTGATTTTCTGTTCTTGTGTTAGTTTGCTGAGAATGATGGTTTCCAGATTCATCCATGTCCCTATGAAGGACATGAATCCATTATTTTTTATGGCTGTATAGTATTCCATGGTGTATATATGCCACATTTTCCTTGTTCAGTCACTGGTGGGCATTTGGGTTGGTTCCAAGTCTTTGCTATTGTAAACAGTGCTGCAATGAACATGTGTGCATGTGTCTTTATAATAGAATGATTTATAATCCTTTGGGTATATACCCAGTAATGGGATTGCTGGGTCAAATGGTATTTCTAGTTCTAGATCCTTGAGGAATCACCACACTGCCTCCCACAATGGTTGAACTAATTTACACCCCCACCAACAGTGTAAAAATGTTCCTATTTCTCCACATCCTCTCCAACATCTGTTGTCTGCAGATTTTTTAATGATCACCATTTTAACTGGTGTGAGATGGTATCTCAATGTGGTTTTGATTTGCATTTCTCTAAAGACCAGTGATGATGAGCATTTTTTTTCATATGTTTATCGGCCTCATATATGTCTTCTTTTGAAAAGTGTCTGTTCATATCATTCACCCACTTTTGAATGGGTTTGTTTGTTTCTTGTAAATCTGTTTTAGTTCTTTGTAGATTCTGGATATTAGCCCTTTGTCAGATGGGTAGATTGCAAAAATTTTTTCCCATTCTGATGGTTGCTGGTTCACTCTAATGATTGCTTCTTTTGCTGTACAGAAGCTCTGGAGTTTAACAAAATCCCACTTGTCTATTTTGGCTTTTGTTGCCAATGTTTTTGGTGTTTTCATCATGAAGTCCTTGCCTGTGCCTATGTTCTGAATGGTTTTGCCTAGGTTTTCTTCTAGGGTTCTTGTGATGTTAGATCTTATGTTTAAGTCTTTAATCCATCTGGAATTAATTTTAGTGTAAGGTGTCAGGAAGGGGTCCAGTTTCTGCTTTCTGCACATGCCTAGCCAGTTTTCCCAACACCATTTATTAAACAGGGAATCCTTTCCCCATTGCTTGTTTTTGTTAGGTTTGTCAAAGACCAGATGGTTGTAGATGTGTGGCACTGCCTCTAAGGCCTCTGTTCTCTTCCATTAGTCTATTATTTTGGTACTAGTACCATGCTGTTTTCACTACTGCAGCCTTGTAGTATAGTTTGAAATCAGGTAGTGTGATGCCTCCAGCTTTGTCCTTTTTGCTTAGGATTGTCTTGGCTATGGGGGCTCTCTTTGGGTTCCATATGAAGTTTAAGGTGTTTTTTTCCAGTTCTGCGAATAAGGTCATTGGTAGCTTGATGGGGATAGCGATGAGTCTATAAATTACTTTGGGCAGCATGGGCATTTTCACGATATTGATTCTTCCTAACCATGAGCATGGAATGTTTTTCCATCTGTTTGTGTCCTCTCTTATTTCCTTGAGCAGTGGTTTGTAGTTCTCCTTGAAGAGGTCCTTCAAGTCCTTTGTTAGTTGTATTCCTAGGTATTTTATTCTCTTTGTAGCAATTGTGAATGGGAGTTCACTCATGATTTGGCTGTTTGTCTGTTATTGGTGTATAGGAATGCTTGTGATTTCTGCACATTGATTTTGTATTCTGAGACTTTGCTGAAGGTGCTTATCAGTTTAAGGAGATTTTGGGCTGAGACGATGGGGTCTTCTAAATATACAATCATGTCATCTGCAAATAGAGACTCTCTAAAGAAGATGATGTCTACCAGTATGTTTTAAGAAAGCCCTTAAAGAAAGAGGGTAAGGGCCGGGCGCGGTGGCTCAAGCCTGTAATCCCAGCACTTTGGGAGGCCGAGGCGGGTGGATCACAAGGTCAAGAGATCGAGACCATCCTGGTCAACATGGTGAAACCCCATCTCTACTAAAAATACAAAACATTAGCTGGGCATGGTGGCGCATGCCTGTAATCCCAGCTACTCAGGAGGCTGAGGCAGGAGAATTGCCTGAACCCAGGATGCGGAGGTTGCGGTGAGCCGAGATTGAGCCATTGCACTCCAGCCTGGGTAACGAGAGCAAAACTCCGTCTCAAAAAAAAAAAAAAAAAAAAAAAAGAAAGAGGGTAAGAAACCTAGGACCAAAGCACCCAAGATTCAGCATCTTGTGACTCCACGTGTCCTGTGGCACAAACGATGGCATATTGCTCTGAAGAAGAAGCATACTAAGAAAAATAAAGAAGAGCCTGCAGAATATGCTAAAGTTTTGGCCATGAGCATGAAGGAGGCTAAAGAGAAGCACCAGGAAGAAATTGCAAAGAGATGCAGACTTTCCTCTCTGCGAGCTTCTACTTCTAAGTCTGAATCCAGTCAGAAATAAGATTTTCTGGGTAACAAATAAACAAGATCAGACTCACACAAAAAAATCTTTTTGAGATCCTAGTTTCAGTTATTTTAGGTAAATATCCAGAAATACTATTGCTGGATCACACAAGTAATTTTTTGTTACTTAATTCCAATTAAGTAACAGACTTCAGAATTGTTTAAACAAAATCCACAATTAAGTAATTGTATTCTTAATTTTCTGAGGAACTACCACACTTTTTTATAGTGGCTGTAGCATTTTACATTCCCACCAAGAAGTCACAGAGTCTCAGTTTTTCCATATCTTCACCAACATTTTCTATTTTCTAGTTGTTGTTTGTTTTCTTTTTATAGTAGGTACCCTAACGGGTGTGATAAGGTATCTCATTATGGTTTTGATTTGCATTTCCCTAATGATTTGTGATATTGAGCATTTTTTTATGTGCTGCTTGGCTATTTGTGTATTTTCATTGGAGAAATTTCTATTGAAGTCCTTTGCCTATTTTTAAAGTTAGAATATTTGTTTTTGTTGCTGAATTATAGGAATTCTTTATATATTCTGGATATTCATCTTTTTCAGATATTTAACTTGCAATTATTTTCTTTTATTCTATAGATTGCCTTTTCACTTGGTTGATTCTGTCCTTTGGTGCACAGATTTTAATTTCAATGCAGTCCACATGATTTATATTTTCTTTTGTCACCTGTTCTTTTGGTGTCATATTTAAGAACTTATTGCCATTTCCAATGTTGTAAATCTTTTCCCCTATGTTTCTTTCTAAGAGTTTTATACTTTTAGCTCTTATACTTAGGTCTTTGATCCATTTCAGTGAATTTTTGTCTATGTTGTAAGCTAAGGGCCAGGTTTCATTCTTTTCATGTAGACATCAGTTTTCCCAAAACTGTTTGTTAAAAAGACTGTCCATTCCCCATTGATCTTGGCACCCTTGTCAAAAATCATTTGACCATGTATACAAAGTTGATTTCTGGGTTCTCTGTTTTGATCCATTGATCTCTATGTCTGTCTTTATCCCAGCACCATACTGTTTTGATTACTGTAGCTTTGTAGTAAGTTTTGAAGTCAGGAAATGTAAGACCTGCAGCTTTGTTCTTTTTTCTTTCTTTTTCTCTTTTTTTTAAAGATGGGGTTTCTCCATGATGGCCAGGCTGGTCTTGAACTCCTGACCTCAGGTGATCCACCCACCTCAGCCTCCCAAAGGGCTAGGATTACAGGCGTGAGCCACCACGCCCGGCTGCTTTGTTCTTTTTTAAAGATTACTTTGGATATTTGGGGGTTCCTTGAGATTCCACATGAATTTTAGTGTGAATTTTTTTATGTCTAACAAAAACTCACCATTTGGATTTCAACAGAAATTGCATTCGATTGACAGATCTCTTTGGGTAGTACTGACATTGTAAAGATGTTAAGTCTTCCACTTCATAAACATGAAAATCCTTTCATTTATTGATGTCTTTAATTTCTTTAAGCAGTGTTTTATAGTTTTCAATGTGTGTCTCTTCCCTTCTTGGTAAAGTTTATTTCTAAGTATTTTATCCTGATATGAAAACCTGGCAGAGACACAACTAAAAAAAAATTTCAGGCCAATATCCATAATGAACATTGATGCAAAAATCCTCAACAAAATACTGGCAAACCAAATCCAACAGCACATCCAAAAGCTAATCCATCATGATCAAGTCTGCTTCATCCCTGGGATGCATTACTGTTATATAGTTTCCATTTTTTGAATCCCTTATCCAGAAATACTTGAAAAGACAGGCAGAAATTATTCATTTTACCCTTAGCATGGCTGTGAAAAGAGTTAATTTAAAAAAAAAATCAAATATACCAAAATGCTTAAGTTTAGAATGAGCTGAAATATTTGACCAGGTAGAATATTATTGTCTTCAAGTGCAGGAGTAGTAACACAGGTTTTTGTAAGCAGTTTTTAATCCATAAATACAATAGGCATTTTGATACTGAGATGTCTCACTTCTGTAGATTCAATTCAGTATATTTAAAGTCATTATTTGTCTAAGGCTAGAATGGTACCAACAAGATGTAAACTGTAAGGAGAGGAGGAGATGAGGCCTTTCCCTGGCATTTAGTAGGTAATACTCAAGGGATTCTCGAAAAATGACACAATGTTATTGCTCCTTGTCTTTTTCTTTCCTCATTGGTCCTGGTGAAGGAGGACATTTCTGCTCTTCAAATTTCCTTATAACCCAGAGATGTTCATAGAAAGCTTGAGACCAGTTGTGATGGCTCATGCCTGTAATCTCAGCACCTTGGAAGGCCAGGACAGGAGGATCACTTGAGCCCAGGAGTTCAAGCAGCCAGGGCAACACAGTAAGACCCCATCTCTTAGAAAGAAAAAAGCTGAGCCTGTTGGGGCAAGCCTGTGATTCCAGCTACACCAGAAGCTGAGGGGAAAGGATCACTTAAGCCCAGTAGTTCAAGGCTGCACTGAGCTATGATCACACCACTGCACTCCAGCCTGGGTGTCAGAGGAAGACCTTGTTTAAAAAAAAAAAAAAAAAAAGGCACACACTGCATTCATCCTAATCTTTGCGGACACCTCCATGTATGTTACCCTAGGTTGCTGTGCTAATTGCTGTCCTTCCTGTCTCTGATGATCCAGAGGTGCTTTATTACCCATTAAAATCATTGAAAACTCACCATGTTCCTTTACTCTGAGGAGAATCTATCTTTGGAATTGATAGGTTTCTTCAAAACTGCCTCTATCTTTGCCTGAAAAGATCAACAGGAAACCCTCACCAGTCATCACACACTGTTCCCTCATGGCTGCAAACTCTTCTTGTCCTGTTGTCTACAAAATACCTAGCTGGGCTGCTCTGTTATCTAGCACACACTGCTTTGTGTTCGAATCTTCAATGGTTGGATCACAATTAATTAAAAAACAGGACTGGGCTGGGCGTGGTGACTCATGCCTGTAATTCTAGCACTTTGGGTGGCTGAGGTGGGCGAATCATGAGGTCAGGAACTCGAGACTAGCCAGCCAACATGGTGAGACACCATCTCTAATAAAAATACAAAAAATTAGGCATGGTGATGGGCACCTGTAATCCCAGCTACCTGGTAGGCTGAGGCAGGAGAATCTCTTGAACCCAGGAAGCAGAGGTTGCAGTGAGCCAAGATCATGCCACTGCACTTCAGCCCAGGCGATGGTGCGAGATTCTGACTCAAAAGAACAACAACCAAAAAAAAAAAAAAATAAGACTGGAGGAACTGGATGCATCAACTTCCAGCAGGGGAGGGGCTCTTGGGCACCAGGAGTTGTCAGAAGGGCTGGTCCTAGGGCAGCATGGTACCTGGGGCTGGCTGGGTCTTGCCCCAGGCACAGAGAAGTGGGGTGATTACCAGGGCCGCGGGCAGTGGGTGAGGGTGGGGTTGCTCCTCTATGCCTCTCTGCAGCACAGCTACATATGGCCATCTGGGGGCACTGTTTTCTTAATTTTTATTTTAGGTTAAGCAGTACAGTACATGTACAGGTCTGTTATGCAGGTAAATTGCATGTCCCAGGGGTTTGTTGTGCAGATAATTTTGTCACTAGGACAATAACATAGCACACAATAGGTAGTTTTTGACCCGTACCCTCCTCCTACCCTCTACCCCCAAGTATGCCCCAGAATCTGTTGTTTTCTTCTTTGTGTCCATGTGTACTTGATGTTTAGCTACCACTTATATGTGAGAACATGTGGTATTTGATTTTCTGTTCCTGTGTTAATTAAGTTAGAATAATGGCCTCCAGCTCCATTCATTTTCCTGCAAAGGACATGATCGTATTTCTTTTTAATGGCTGCATAGTATTCCATGGTGTATGTGTGCCACTTTTTTTATTATTATACTTTAAGTTCTGGGGTACATGTGCAGAACATGCAGGTTTGTTACATAGGTATACACGTTCCATGGTGATATGCTGTACCCATCAACCCATCAGGTATATTAGGTATTTCTTCTAATGTTATCCGTCTCCTGGCCCCAAACTCCCAACAGGCTCTGGTGTGTGATGTTCCCCTCCCTGTGTCCATGCATTCTCATTGTTCAACTCCCACTTATGAGTCAAAACATGTGGTGTTTGGTTTTCTGTTCCTGCGTTAGTTTGCTGAGAATGATGGTTTCCAGCTTCATCCATGTCCCTGCAAAGGACCTAACTCATTCTTTTTTATGGCTGCATAGTATTCCATGGTATATATGTGCCACATTTTCTTTATCCAGTCTATTATTAATGGGCATTTGGATTGGTTCCAAGTCTTTGTTACTGTGAACAGTGTCACAATAAACATAGGTGTGCATGTGTCTTTATAGAATCATTTATAATCCTTTGGGTATATACGCAGTAATGAGATTGCTGGGTCAAATGGTATTTCTGGTTCTAGATCCTTGAGGAATCACAATACTGTCTTCCACAATGGCTGAACTATTTTACACTCCCACCAACAGCGTTCCTATTTCTCCACATCCTCTCCAGCATCTGTTGTTTCCTGACTTTTTAATGATCACTATTCTAACTGATGAGATGGTATCTCATTGTGGTTTTGATTTGCATTTCTCTAATGACCCATGATGATGAGCCTTTTTTCATATGTTTGTTGGCCACACAAATGTCTCCTTTTGAGAAGGGTCTGTTCATATCCTTTGCCTACTTTTTGATAGAGTTGTTGGTTTTTTTCTTGTAAATTTAAATTCTTTATAGATTCTGGATATTAGCCCTTTGTCAGATGGATAGATTGCAAAGATTTTCTCCCATTCTGTAGGTTGCCTGTTCACTCTGATGACAGTTTCTTTTGCTGTGCAGAATCTCTTTAGTTTAATTAGATCCCATTTGTCTATTTTGGCTTTTATTGCCATTGCTTTTGGTGTTTTAGGCATGAAGTCTTTGCCCATGTCTATGTCCTGAATTGTATTGCCTAGGTTTTCTTCTAGGGTTTTTATGGTGTTGGGTCTTATGTTTAAATCTTTAATCCATCTTGAGTTAATTTTTGTATAAGGTGTAAAGAAGGGATTCAGCTTTCTGCACAAGGCTATCCAGTATTTTCCCAACATCACTTATTGAGTAGGGAATCATTTCCCTACTCAATAACCATCTGACAAATCAATCATTTGTCAAAGATCAGATGGTTATAGATGTGTGGTGTTATTTCTGAGGCCTGTGTTCTGTTCCATTGGTTTATATATCTATTTTGGTACCAATACCATGCTGTTTTTGTTACTGTAGCCTTGTAGTATACTTTGAAGTCAGGTAGTGTGATGCCTCCAGCTTAGTTCATTTTGCTTAGGATTGTCTTGGCAATGCAGGATCTTTTTTGGTTCCACATGAAGTTTAAAGTAGTTTTTTCCAATTCTGTGAAGAAAGTCACTGGTAGCTTGATGGGGATAGCACTGAATCTATAAATTACTTTGGGCATTATGGCCATTTTCATGATATTGATTCTTCCCATCCATGAGCATGGAATGTTTTTCCATCTGTTTGTGTCGTCTCTTATTTCCTTTAGCAGTGATTTGTAGTTTTCCTTGAAGAGGTCCTTCACATCCCTTGTAAGTTGTATTCCTAGGTATTTCTTCTCTTTGTAGCAATTGTGAATGGGAGTTCACTCATGATTTGGCTCCCCTTTTGTCTATTATTGGTGTATAGGAATGCTTGTGATTTTTGCAAATTGATTTTATATCCTGAGTCTTTGCTGAAGTTGCTTATCAGCTTAAGGATATTTTTGGGCTGAGACGATGGGTCTCCTGAATACAGCACACTTATGGGTCTTGACTTGATCCAATTTGCCAGTCTGTCAGCCCCTACTGGGAGGTGACTCCCAGTCAGGATACACGAGGTCAGGGACCCACTTAGGAGGCAGTCTGTCCCTTATCAGAGCTCAAATGCTGTGTGCAGAGATCCCATGCTCCCTTCAGAGCTGTCAGGCAGGGACATTTAAGTCTGCTGAAGCGGTGCCCACAGTCACCCCTTCCCCCAGGTGCTCTGTCTCAGGGAGATGTGGGTTTCATTTATAACTCCCTGACTGGGGCTGCCGCCTTTTTTTCAGAGATTCCCTGTCCAGGGAGGAGGAATCTACACAGGCAGTTTAGCCACAGATGCCTTGCCGAGCTGCAGTGAGCTCTGCCCAGTTTAACTTCCTAGTGACTTTGTTTACACTGTGAGGGGAAAACCACCTACTCAAGTCTCAGCAATGGTGGACGCCCCTCCCCCCACCAAGCTCAGTCATCCCAGGTTGACCTTAGACTGCTGTGCTAGCAGCAAGAATTTCAAGCCAGTGGATCTTAGCTAGCTGGGCTCCATGGGGGTGAGATCTGCTAAGCCAGACCACTTGGCTCCCTGGCTTGAGCCCCCATTCCAGGGGAGTAAAGGATTCTGTCTCGCTGGTGTTCCAGGTACCACCAGGGTTTGAAAAAAAACACAACTCCTGCTGCTAGATCAGTGTCTGCCCAAATGGCTCCCCAGTTTTGTGCTTGTAACCCAGGGCCCTGGTGGTGTGGGCACCAGAGGGAATCTCCTGGTCTGCCAGTTGTGAAGACTTTGGGAAAAATGCAGTATCTGGGCTGGAAAGCACCATTCTTCCCAGTACAGTCTCTCATGGCTTCCTTTGGCTAGGGGAGGCCCCTTGGGCTTCCCAGGTGAGGTGATGGCCCACCCTACTTCAGCTTGCCCTCCGTGGGCTGCACCCACTGTCCAACCAGTCCCAATGAGATGAAGAGCATACCTCAGTTGGAAATGAAGAAATCACCCATCTTCTGCGTCAATCTCTTTGGGAGCTTCAGACCAGAGCTGTTCCTATTTGGCCATCTTGCCAGTCTATCACTGATGGGCATTTAGGTTGATTCCATGTCTTTGCTATTGTAAGTAAAGCCATTGTGGATAGCAGTTTGGCAATTTCTGAAATAACTTAAAACAGAATTTCTATTTGACTCAGCAATCCCATTATTTACCCAAAGGAATGTAAATCATTCTATCATAAAGACACAGGCACACAGATGTTCACTGGGGCACTTCTTTTTTGATGGAAATGTTTTTAGCTCTGAGTTTCCCTCTTAGCATTGCTTTGCTGCATCCCATCAGTTAGTATTTTTTTCTCTTTTGTTAATTTTTTTTTTTTTTTTTTTTTTTTTTTTTTTTGAGATGGAGTCTCGCTCTTGTTACCCAGGCTGGAGTGCAATGGCGCAATCTCGGCTCACTGCAACCTCCGTCTCCTGGGTTCAGGCAATTCTCCTGCCTCAGCCTCCTGAGTAGCTGGGATTACAGGCACACGCCACCATGCCCAGCTAATTTTTTGTATTTTTAGTAGAGATGGGGTTTCACCATGTT